CTTACCAGAGTGGAGACACTGAACCAAGAAAACCCATCTCTAATATTCACTGGCCAGCCGCCTGGGACGTGTTACCCTATGAATGGCTTCAGCTCCTCAGGCCAAATGAGCCACGGGGTAGGCAGAGATCAAAGGAATGGAGATTACCCAGCGCCTGTGAAGTAATTTACATCTTGGTGTCTTTAGGCACCATTATTGTAATGGAGGATGCAGGAAACGGCCCCCTACACCCTACATGGATTTACCCTCTAGACTCAGCCTCAGCTCTTGGGGGCTTGGCCTCTAAGGACAGAGTGCAGGAAGCTGTTGCATCCCATCTACACGTGTCTAGGACACAGGTGTGTCCCAGGGCTAGCCCTGTCTCTCTCACTGCCTTCTTGGCTTCCCTGAGGCAGTGAAAGCATCACCTTTATTCTGAATAGTCGCTGGCTTTCTGTTTGGCTTCTCTACTCTGTCTCCATGAAGTTCTTGCTCAATTCAGCAACCAGAGGAAATCTGCTTTAGAATACTGTCATGCCACCCCAGCAGCTTCTCATCATACTTGAAGCAATCTAAAGTCTTTGACTGACCATCAAACACAAGCTGATCAAGTCCCTAGCTTACTCCACTGCTAGCGCCCCAATCCTTCAACCAGAGTCAGAGTCTCGTGTATTCAAGGTTAGCCTTGAAGTTTCTATGTAGCCAAGGATGACTTTGAGTTTCTGATATTCTTGCCTTCACCTTCCAAGTGCTGTTATTTCAGGCATGGGTCATCCTATATGTGCTGGGGATTGAACCCAGGGCTTTGTGCATGCTAGGCAAACATTCTACCAACTGAGTTGCATCTCCATCTCCTGCTGTTCTCTACTTTCTCCTCATTTGTTGCCGAGACAGGCTCCTTTGCTTACCCTTGAGCTCCTTAAGCCACTTCTTAGCACAGGGCCCTGGCACACGTTGTTCCTTCATGTTGCAGAGGTCTGCTTGGTTCATCTGTCTTCCCCATACTTCAGCAGGTCCCTGAATGCCCTGCTGCTGCCTCTGCTGTTAGCCCTGTCCCCAGAAGAGGTTATCACTTTCAACCTTGAATTATCTATCTATTGTTCTTATCCTATCATTCTCATGACAGTGACAGCTCCTCAAGGATGGGGGCTTTGAGGGTTGTGCCCTCTATTCTGTCTCCAGTTCCCAAAACAGTACCCAGGGCCCAGTGACTCCTGATACATTTGAGGAACAAATGAATGAATGATGCTGTCAGGGCAGATCTGAGTTGGACACATTTTAGGAACAGGTCTGTGACTTCACAGGAAGTAGTATCCATATTACTCCCCCTTCCCCTTTTTTCTTTTTCTCTTTTTGAGACTCAGTTCAAGGTTGCTGTCCTTGAACACCCGATCTTCCTACCTGCAGCTCCCAAGTGCTGGGATCGCCACACGTACCACCACGCTTGACTCCTTCCCCTCTTTTCATCTGTGGTTATCTCATTAGGATGAATCTTGCCTTGGAAGTTACTCAGCATCCCAGGCCTTGTTCAGAGCCTCAGCTTAGATACCATTATTATGGCAAACATTAGAGGAAATAGAGACGTAATACCCAACCCAGGGGCTTGCATGTATAAGGCGCTGAATGAATGTTTGATAATGACATCTGTGTGTCCATCTGTGTTCTTCACTCTCTACTTTTCTTGTCCCAGGGAGGGAAATCTCCAGACTGGGAGCTAAGCATGGGTACCCATCAGGTCCAGAGTGAAGACTTTTTGGTTTTCTCTCTGTTGCTGTGATAAAACTCGGAGCAAAGGCAATTTGGGGATGAAAGGGTTTCTTTGGCTTACATGTCCCCATCACAGATCATCATTGATGGAGGTCGGGGTAGGAACTCAATCAGGAGCTGAGGCAGGAACCATGGAAAGATGCTGACTTACTGGCTTGCACTCCATGGCTTGTTCAGCCTGCTTTTTTATATAGACCAGGACCACCTACCCAGGGCTGACACCACCCACAGTGGGCTGGACCCTCTCACCTTAATCATTAATCAAGAAAATGACCCATAGACATACCTACCGGCCAGTCTGATGGAGGCAGTTCTTCAGCTGAGGCTTCATCTTCCCAAGTGGCTCTAGTTCCCAGTCAGAGCCTGGGCCAGCCTGCCTTCTCTGCCCTCTGGGTGCTATCTCCTTGTTGCTACAGTCCTGGAAGGGTGTGTATTCTGCCCCTCCTGATCCTGGAAGTTACAGTGCTCTGACAAATACAGAGGGTGGCAGTGGGCCCAAAATGCAGGCTCCTTGTAGTGTAGGCAGCCAGTAGAAGACAGACAAGGGTCTAGGTACCCTTCCTCCCTGCTTAGAGGAATATTATAATGAGCCCAGGCTCCGTGGCTTCTAAATCTAAGAGAATCTTAGGACACAGGAATCCAGATGATCATAGGTTTGGTGACAGCGATGGGCCAGACACCCTGTCCATAGGACCTGGCTTGGACTGTGGGCCACATCACTTTGTCTAAGCTGTGGTCGCTAAGGCAAGGGTCTTAGATTTTTTGATCTCCAGTCCCATCCAGCACTGGCCCTGGCTAAGTTCCAGGGGTGGGATATGGACCTCAACTGTTCCTGGGAGGTCTCCTGCTACAACCATTTTCTCTCCAGAATCTCCACCTCAACTGGTGTCAGCAGGTCAAGTTCATCCCCCAGCTGAATGTGGTGGTCTCGTGTTCAGCCATTGAGAGGTCCTCACTGGTGCTGATAATCCTGCCAACCAAAGACCCCGAGAAACCCAAGTAAGGATTGTGTAACGGAGGGATATGGACAGGCGGTGTGTCCTGGATCAGTCTGGCTTCCCTCTGCTGCATGCAGATAGGCCCTGACGAGGGAGGACACACCTCTGGGTCGGTGCATCAACAACAGGGCACTGACCTGAGGCTTTTGCTGGGCCCCAGGAAGCAGCTTGTGTCCCATAGGCTGACAGCGGTTGTAGCACCTAGCACCTGGGTTTTGGATTCTGTTTAATCGTCATTTTGGAATGTTTACCAGTGGCAAAAGGGTAACAAGCCTATTTTGACTCTCTCTCTCTCTCTCTCTGGTCTGGGGGTGTGGTGGAATGCATGCCTTAGTGCACATGTGGAGGACAATCTCCGGTCCTCACTGTTTGAGACAGGGCCTGCTTGTTGTTGACCACTGTGCCTACCAGACTGGCTGGCCTGTGAGTTCCTGAAGGTTCTCCTGGTTTGGCATCATAGCTTGCTATAGAAAGGCAGGATTACAGATATGTACTACAATGTCCAACTTTCTGTGGCATCTGGGAACTCAAACTTAGGTCCTCATGCTTGTGTGCAAGTACTCTACCCACTGAGCCACAGTAAAACCCAGTAGACCTGTTTTACTGACCAATTTCTTAAAAATGAATAACAAAAAACAAGTTAACCCCAGCCTATGCTAAGTAGGCAGACAAAAGGCACATCTTATCTTTTCTCTTTCTCTTTTATGAAGGGGACAGCAGGGTCTGAAGTAACACAAGCTGGTCTTGAACTTCTGGTCTTCCTGCTTCCACCCTGCAAGGGCTAGCGTTCCAGGCCTGTGCCACTGGTTGGGCTCAAAATACATTTCTAAATGAAGTAGTAAAAGTGAGTGGCTTCACCCTGGAGCCTTCAGTTTCCCGACTGTGAAGGGTGAAGTCAGTGCCTACCTCAGACCTCAGAGATTCCTTGAGTGGGGAGTGTTCTGTGTGGCAAACCACACAGTAAAAACAAACAAACAAAAAAACCCGCCTTCAATTGCAGAGTAAGTTAATTAGGTGGCAAAAGGTGCATCTTCTCTTCCTATGGCAACCCATGAGCATGTGCATTTGTTCTTTGAGAAATACTAACATTTTTGTTTCCTTCATTCTAGAAGTGGCCCTCAACGGGGGCTCCCCAAAGTCCACCACATCATCCTGGGCCGGGCCTAGGCCCTTCCCCATATGTCCAGGCCAAGAGTGCCTCCCTTCATGTGGGATGGGCTCTCAAATCCCTTCCTACACCAGGGAAAAATACTAATCCACTACCAGGGGCCCCATAGAGTGCAGAGGCCTCCTCATTGACATCCATGTTAAGGGGGCTGATTCAGTCCTGAACTGTCCTCCCAGACAGCATCTGGGGTCCATGTGCTCCCCCTTGTTCAGGCCAGCTGTTTCTGTGGGTACCACCAGCCTGGTACCGACTCCTTCGATCTTCATTCCTCCCTCTCTGCAACTAAGTTCCAGAGTTCAGTTCAGTGTATATCTGTGCATGTCTGCCTCTGCTTCCATCAGCCACTGGATGAGGGCTCTAGGATGGCATAAAAAAGTAGTCATCAATCTCATTTTAGGAGAGGGGTGTTTAGGTTATCTTTTCCACCATTGCCTGGATTGTCAGTTCGTGTCATCCTTGTAGGTCTCTGGAAATCTCCCTAGTGCCAGATCTCTCCTCGGATCTATAATGGCTCCCTCTAATATGGTATCTCTCATCCTGCTCTCCTCTATCCTTCCCCCAACTCAATATTTCTGTTCCTCTATTTCCTCCTCTCCTCTCCTCCTCCTCTCATTCTGGCAGCTCCCTCTCCCCTACCCTCATGCTCCCAATTAGCTCAGGAGTTCCTGCCGAATCTTACTGCATTTGATGGCAGGAGGAGGCCAGAGGGTCACCTCATCGTGGTCTCTGGAGGCTGGTTCTGATGTCTTCTCTTTCTTTCTCATCTCATCTTCCCATTCAAGGTGCACAGGCCCAGAGTTCGGGCACCTCCTGCTCCAGGCCCTCTGTTCCTTTCTGCTCACTGTGTTCTTGCCTTTTGTTTTGTTTTGTTTTCTCTCCCTGTTACTTGTTTTGATTTTGAGACAGTCTTGCTGTGTAGCTCAGGCTGGCCTTGAACTTGCTGTTCTCCTGCTTCTATCACCAGAGTGCTGGAATTATAGGCATGTGTCACTATATCTGGCTTTCTTGTTCAGTTTTACCCCTGTTTCCAGGGCACCAAACCCAAGGTCTTGTGCTTGCTAGGCAAGCACTCCATCACTGAGCCAAAGTCTAAGCTGTCTCTTGTTTCCTTCCTTCCTTCCTTCCTTCCTTCCTTCCTTCCTTCCTTCCTTCCTTCCTTCCTTTCTTTCTTTCTTTCAAATTGTTTTTGAGACAGGGTCTCACTGTGTAGCCCTGGCTGGTCTGGACTCACTATGTAGACCAGGCTAGCCTTAACTTTACAGAGATCTGCCTGCCTCCTGAGTGCTTGGATTAAAGGCATGCGTCATCATTCTCTGCATCTCATTTTCTTATTAACATTTTCATTTTGAAAAATCTCAAATATACACATAAGAACATAAAAAATCCAAAATTTCTTATTATCACGTAGGTACTAGTTCAAGTACATTAGAGTGTCTTGTTCTAATTCTTTGGAATCAGGTATAAGCAAAGTGCAGATGATTTTGAGCAGAGGGATGGAGGGATCCTAACTTATATCTTCAAGTCTAAGGGCCAGGAGAGGTGGGGCCACCAGGGGGGCCAAGGGTTGGGGTGGAGAGGTTGGAATATTTAATTTGGAGATAGGCTGGAGGACTATTATACATGTACACGTACACACACACACACACACACACACACACACACACACACACACACACACACACACACACACACACACACACAGAGCGTTTCTTTTCAGTCTTGGTGCAGTACCACCTAAGGCCAGGAGGTGGCACTATTAGTTGCCTACTGGTCTCTGGTACCAGATGCCCTCTTGGGGAGTAATCTCTGTAGAAGAGACTTGAATTGCCAAACCTGACTCCTATGGAGTCACCCTCAGCATCTAAGGTCCCTGGAGGTCCAGCTTCATTGTAGTTGGTGTTACCTGATCTCTTCAGGTAGGTGGTCGAGCCAGAAGCAGAGTTGGAGGGAAGATCAGGGATTGGGGGTGTAGGAACTGGTTTGGAGTGTGTAACTGACCCACCCTGTCTCCCATCCTTTCTCTTTTCTTATTTCTTCCATCAAATCCTATCCGAAGTCATTGTCACTGCTCACTAGGTCCCCTCTGGCTGCTGTCCCTATACATAGCCATCTGCAGATCTCATCCCTGTGGGGCCCTGCTTGAATCCTTCATAGTTCAGCTCCCCACTACCTTTGCCTCTGACCACTTCCGCCAGCCCTACAACCTTGCACTAGCTGCTCCCTGGGTCTGAAGCCTCATCTCTCTGCCCTCCCTCCCACCCCTGCATGCTCCCCTTGGCCATTTCTAATTCCCCTGCAGGTTTCTGCCTCCCATCACCCTTCTCCGAGGAGGCTGTCCAAAATGAGTCATTCAGTTTCCCTCTGCCAAGCCATCTCCTCGCTTCCCCGGCAGGCTTCCTCATAGTTGGCCACTGTCCCACCTGTATTCATCCATTTCCTTGCTCCTGTGCTTTGCTCCAGGAGACAAGATCTGTAAGGCAGGAAGCACAGCGGCTCCCTAGTCCTGGTAGGGACCAGGAGCCAGCAGATGCCTGTTGCATAGATGAGTGAGCTAATCTGAGGTAATTCCTTTTATCTACTTGGCAACCATTGTTCCAGAACATTTCTCTGCACATAAACGTGTAGATGGAGGCTTCTGTTTTTTTTTTTTTTCCATATACGTATTATAGGAATGGTGGCACACACTGCTGCACTCAATGTGGAGTCGGTTCTCTCCTGCCAGGGTGTGGGTCCCAGGAGTTGAACCCTGTTATTAGGCTTGGCAACAAGTGTCTTTATTTACCAAGCCATCTCAGTGGCTCACATCTCTACCTTGCCCGTTGGTGGGGGATGCATGCTCTGATGTGTTCTTGAAAATCTGAAGCAAGGATGGAGGCTAAGAAACAGCTGCTGTGGAAACTAAGGGGCCCTTGACTAGGCATGGTGTGGTGTGAAGTGATAAGGAAGAGTTGGCTTGACTATGGTCCCAGGAAACTTCTAGACAAGGCAGTTCAGTGGCCTGTGTAGGGGCCTGACAGTCCTGGGATCCTGTTGCTGTCTTTCTGACCTTTGTGCCCTGTCCCTCCCTTCCTCCTTTTCTCTGTTCCTGGATGTCTTGAGTCATTTCCTGTTGTACCCACCAGGGCACAGTCCTCATCCCTTGTAGGTCCCTGACAGTGCATCCATTTGTCAGCTCTTGATTTTTTTTTAAAGATTTTATTTATTTATCATGTATACAACATTCTGCTTCCATGTATATCTGCACACCAGAAGAGGGCACCAGATCTCATAATGGATGGTTGTGAACCACCATGTGGTTGCTGGGAATTGAACTCAGGACCTCTGGAAGAGCAGCCGGTGCTCTTAACCTCTGTGCCATCTCTCCAGCCCCAGCTCTTGGTTTTAGTGTTCTCAATGCACCAGGCAATGTCACTCTTGAGGACTGAATGTGGGGTCCAGGTGACCTGTGAGATGACATCCAGTGCAGAGTGAGGGCACAGCACCAATGGCCCTGAGCTGCTTTTTTTTAAATTTATTTTTGTTTTTGTGTTGGCTTGGAGGATACCTGCCTGAAGGTGGTAGGTGTAAAATCAAGTTAAGACAAGGTGTATGAATGGAAAGATTTGCTCATGTTTGGGGGGTTTTGCTTCCTAAAGGGTGGGTGCCTTCCCATGAGCTACTGATTTGAGCATTTGCTACTTCACCGAGCTATGCTTTGGGTGCTGGGTGAGCACTGCGTGGGTCTGGGGCCCCTCTTTTTTCTGGGTAGAGAGATACTGGTCCCTCCCCACGAAGCACCTAGCTCCGCCCCTCCTGGAGCCCAGGCTGCTGCTCTTAGCCCTGCATCTCCCCCGCCCTTGATTTTCTGCTCTAGGTTATCATCGTTGAATTTAAGAAAGGGAATTCTTTGCTTTGATTACTGTCCAGACAGGAACTTCCTGGGTAAGTAATCTTTGTGTTCCCCAGAAGCAGAGTTGGGGTGGGGGCTGCAGCTGCCTGTGGATGATCAGAGCTGAGGACAGGCCTGTAGCACCTGGCCTCTGGCTTCTTCCTCTGCTGATCTATATCATTGGGAGGTGGGGTGTGACTCAGGTTGTCAGAGATGGACACAGAGAGGAAAGAGCAAGAGGGACAGTGACAGATCACAGCGGCCTTCCCCATCTACCCACTCTGACTGGGGTCTGAGGCCTGGCCCTGGAAGAAGGTCCCTGGTAGCTGATACTCATTTCTTGACTCCAGCAACTGGTGGCTATGACCCCCACATCCGCCTGTGGAACCCCCTGGTCTCCAAAAGGCCTGTGTGGCTGATGAAGGGACATCACACATCAGTGACTCACCTTCTTGTGAACAGCAAGAACACCAGCATCCTGATCAGCATCTCCAGGGACAAGGTGTCACCCTCGTGGGTCATAACCTTTGTCCGCCATCCCTCCAGCTATGTTCCCCAGGAAAAGACACTGACCCTGGGGTGCTAATATAGCTCAGCCAGTTTTGGGAGGAGTGTGAGGCACAGAGGTAACCTTCCTGCTGCTGGCCTCACACTTTGCCCAAGGCCCACTGGGAGGTACCCTAGAGGAGTCATTGTACAGGTAGTCACAAGCCTCTGGTGGGGGTGGAGCCCAGCTCTGAGCAGTTAGAGCTGGTTGGGGTGGGGGAGCAAGTGAAGGTCTGAGGTAGGAAGTGGACCTCCTGCAGCCTTTACCTTTAGCTTGCTGAGCTTAGAAGTCCAGGCAGCACAGAGGTGCATAGGAAAGCTGAGGAAGGGAGGCTGTGTTCTCTCTCCCTCACTAAGAGCATGGATTATGTGGCCATTGGTTTAGCCTTTTTGGGCGGTGCTGTGACTGAAGCAGATACTTTATACATGGGTGGCCTTGCTCCTAGGGGCATCCCCAGGGCCTAGGGTGCTGGTTGCTTTTGCAGACCCTCCTGCCTCTCTCCTTTTCCCTACAGAACATTCGTGTGTGGGACCTGCAGGACTATGTGTGCCTCCAGTCCTTCTGTGGGAAGCTCTTCCCCCTGGGCAACTGCCCCATAACCAGCGCCTACTTCCATAGAGACCGCACCCTCATCTGTAGCACCTACAACGTGAGTGCTGCCGTAGGAATGGGCACAGCTGATGGTCTGTCCTGCACTGGCCTGGCCCTGGAGTCTGTGAGGCTCTGGCTTTTGAGCTTCAGGGAGAGCAGGTTCTGGACCCTAGTCCATCCTTTTCTCCACCCCCTACTGCCCTTACTCCATCCTTACTCATGCACCCCTTGGGCTCTCCTGTCATCCCTCCATGCTCCTTTCCCCCATCAGTTGTAATCATCAACTCCAGGAAGGCAGAGAGGCCCTGGAGAAAACTTCCAGGAAGAGTGCCTGTGAGCTATGACCTGCTTGGTGCCTGTGGGTCTGTTATGACCTTGAGGATGGCTGGAAGGGGAGGACTGGCTAGGGCCATGGTGAGGCCTGGTGCCGTGTGGGAGCCCAGTGGCAGACAAGTGGCATGTACCCTGACACTGAAGCCATGTACCCACTGTTGGCTGGACCACCCTCTCAAGGAACATAGAACTCTGTGAGTTCGAGACCAGCTTGGACTACAGAGCTAGTTCCAGGACAGCCAGGGCTACACAGAGAAACCCTGTCTCAAAAAACAAAACCAAAAACAAACAAACAGTCAAATTGATAGTGGAAATCGGAAAAAGGAGATTTGTTCAGTATGGTCACATTGGGAAGAGGGACAAAGAGATCCAGCAGATACCTCAGGTCTATCTTTGGGGTCCTGAAGTGAGATTCAAGTTTAAATAGAGTCCCAGGTAGATTGGCCATTGGCCCATTTCTGTTTGGCTTCAGTGTCTTCCTGTAAGATGGTCTGATGTAGAACCATGTGAAATATCTTTCCCGGAGATAAGTTGTGTCCACCCATCCCAACCCCCTTTTGGCTGGCACTCTTTCCTTCTCCTAGCATGAGATCCTGGGAAATTCCTATTTCTCTGGGGTTCACTGTTTCAACAGTCTCCTAGTCAGATCGGAAGACCCAAGTGTCTCTTTAGAATATCTTCATATCTGCCAGGCTGGTTACAAATGAAACACCTGAATGAGGCTTTAGCTCCTTCCTCAGAAGGTAAGAGGACCATGGACTTGGGCCTCACAGAGATTATTGGAACATGAGGGACTGGGAGTCTCAGTCCTGGAAGTAGGGCCTTGGGTTAGGGTAAGAGAAGAGGTGCGATTCTAAGTTTCTGAGGAGCCTTATGGGGGTACAGGATGTCTTAGTCACAGAGGGTAGAGCCCATCTGACTGCTCAGCTGTCCGCCCCTACCCTGCTCACAGATCGGGATCCTCAGAGGGTACTTGGAGTCCCAGGGGCCCTTGAAAACAGGGAAGATGACAACTCACAGCACAGCCTTGAGTGCAGTCCTCTACAGCAAGATCTTCAAGCAGGTGAGTGGGCAGGGCTGGCCTCGGCAGCTGGGAGGAGTGCCAGTGCCACCATCAGGACCCAGACCTCTCCATGTGTCCGAGTCTGCATTCAAACAGTAGTGGCTCATGTAGCACTCTGGAAATCATTAGTGCGTGGTTATAGTCCTGCTGTCACCAAAATGTAGACAAAATGTAGACTGGTTGTCATGGGAGCTGACCGAGCTCCCCATCTGGTCACTGGATTGTTGATCCCTCTGAGTATCCCTGCCTTGGGATGTCACTTAGGTCATCTCTGGGCAGGCAGTCCTCTTAGCATGGAAACAGATGCTGGTGCAGGGTGTCCCTCAAAGTTCCCACCCTATGAGCTACCCCAGAATACCACTTTGTGGAAGCCGCATTCTGTTTCTTATGGGGAAGGCATGGCCCCAGTGCCCTAGGCTGAGGAGAGGCCTCATTGTGTGTAGGACATCTGGGCACACAGAATGCTTATAGGGAATGTGAGCAGAAAGAGCTGCAGGCTTCTGCCCACTCTCAGTGGCACCTGTTGTCTGGCCTGGGCTGTGGACAGGTGGCTATCTGTGAGGGAGTGGCTTTGGCTCCTCCAATTCTGGCTTTAGTATCACTGTCTCAGACTCCAGGTACCTTATGGGTTCCTCAGGGCTGCAGAACAGCTTTTGTTTTTGTTTGTAAACACACCCAGCTCTTCTCAGCAGTGGGAATGTCAATGCCAGTATAAAGTGGCTTTCCAGGCTACTGCCTCAGAACAAGATGATGGCAGCGAAAGCACAGCCATCTTGCATCCTCTGAGCTTCTCTGTGGAGGGACCAGGAGCCTGTTCCCTGCTTGGCCTTTTTGCCACCATTTGGGTCCCGACTAACGGTGCTTTGGCAAGCGTGCTCTCTATACCATGCTGAGAGAGTGATGAGTGAGTTGATGCAAACCACGACTCTCACCTCACAGGAAGAAGAGTTTGTCTTGAGCCAACTATGAATAATGGTGCTCTGGGAACATGGATTCAGTTTCCCACAAATTACATGTTCTTGCTTTTTTTCCCCCGGTTTTATTTATTTTTTATTAAGTCTTTTAAAAATTAATTTATTTTTACATTCCAATCCCAGTACCCCCTCCCTCCTCTCCTTCCACTCCCGCCACTTCCCCACCTCCCATCTGCTCCTCAGAGAGGGTGAGGCCTCCCCTAGGAAGTCTACTAAGCCTGTCCCATCACCTCGTTGAGGCAGGACCAAGGCACCTCTCCACCCCCACACCCCTGTGTCTAGGCTGGGCATGGTATCTCTCCATAGAGAATGGGCTCCACAAAGTCAGTGTGTGCATTAGAGTTAGATCTTGGACCCACTGCCGGTGGCCTCATATATTGCCCCAGCTGCACCATTGTCGCCTATATTAAGGGAGTCCAGTTCGGTCTTATGCAGGTTCCCCATTTGTCAGACTGGAGTCAGTGATCTCTCACTTTGCTCAGGTCAGCTGATTCTGTGGGTTTCCCCATTATGATCTTGACCCTTTTGTCCATATTATCACTCCTCCCTCACTTTGATTGTACTCCAGGAGCTTGGCCCCATGGTTAGTTGTGGATTTCTGCCCTTGCTTCCATCTGTTTCTGGAAGAGGGTTCTAGCTTCTCTTGGCTTATGGATTGTAGGCTGGGTATCTTTTGCTTTTAGTCTGGTATCCACTTATGAGTGAGTACATACTATATTTGTCTTTCTGGGTCTAGGTTACCTTATTCAGGATGTTTTTTTTTCTAGTTCTGCCCATTTGCCTGCAAATTTTAGGATGTCATTGTTTCTTACTGCTGAGTAGTACTCCATTGTGTAAATGTACTACATTTTCTTTATCCATTCTTTGGTTGATGGACATCTAGGTTGTTTCCAAGTTCTGGCTATTATGAATAATTTTGCTATGAAAATAGTTGAGCAAATGTCCTTGTAGTGTGAATGTGTCTCCTTTGGGTATATGCCCCAAAGTGGTATTGCAGGGTTTTGAGGTCTCAGAAAATTCCTCATTTTCTGAGAAATTGCCATACTGATTTCCACAGCAGCTGTACAAGTTTGCACTCCCACCAGCGACGGAGGAGTGTTCCCCTTTCTCCACATCCTCTCCAGCATAAGCTGTCATTAGTGTTTTTGATCTTAGCCATTCTGATCACTGTAAGATGGTATTTCAAAGTTGTTTTAATTTGCATTTCCCTGATGACTAAGGATGTTGAACATTTCCTTAAGTGTCTTTCTGCCATTTGAGATTGTTCTGTTGAGAATTCTTTGTTTAGATCTATACCCCATTTTTAATTGGATTATTTGGTAGTTTGATTTCTAGTTTCTTGAGTTCTTTGTGTAGTTTGGAGATCAGCTCTCTGGCAGATGTGGGGTTGGGGAAGATCTTTTGCCATTCTATAGGGAGTCATTTTGTCTTGTTGACTGTGTTCTTTGCTATACAGAAGCTTCTCAGTTTCAGGAGGTCCCATTTATTAATTGTTGCTCTCAGTGTCTGTGCTACTGGTGACTGGTGTTCTATTTAGGAAGTGGTCTCCTGTACCTATGTGTTCAAGGGTATTTCTCATTTTCTCTTCTATGAGGTTCAGAGTGGATGGATTTATATTGAGGTCTTTGGTCCATTTGGACTTGAGTTTTGTGCATGGCCATAGCTATGCATCTATTTGCATTCTTCTACATGTTGACAACCAGTTATTCCAGCACCATTTTTGAATATGTTTTCTTTTTTCCATTTTATATTTTTAGCTTCTTTGTAAAAAACAATTAGGTGTTCATAGGTGTGTGGTTTGATATCAGGGTCTTTGATTCAATTCCATTGGTCTACCTGTCTGTTTTTGTTCCAATATCAAGCTGTTTTCATTACTATAGCTCTATAGTAGAGCTTGAAGTCAGGGATGGTGATGCCCCCAGATGATCCTTTTTTGTACAGGGTTGTTTTGGCTGTCCTGGGTTTTTTGTTTTTCCATATTGAGTATTGTTCTTTCCAGGTCTGTGAAGAATTGTGCTGGGATTTTGATGGTGATGGCATTGAATCTGTAGATTACTTTTGGTAGGATTGACATTTTTTACTGTGTTGATCCTACCTATCCAAGAGCATGGGAGATCTTTCCATTTTCTGATAACTTCTTTAATTTCTTTCTTTAAAGACTTAAAGTTAAAAAAAAGATAACAACAACAACAACAACAACAACAACAACAAAAAGACTTAAAGTTCTTGTCATATAGGTCTTTCACTAGTTTGGTTAGAGTTACCCCAAGATATTTTATGTTGTTTGTGGCTATTGTAAAGGGTGTTGTTTCGCTGGTTTCCTTCTTAGTTTGTTTATCATCTGTATATAGGAGGGCTACTGATTTTTTGAGTTAATCTTGTATCCTGATACATTACTGAAGGTGTTTATCAGTTGCAGGAGTTCCCTGGTAGAATTTTTGGGGTCACTTATGTAAACTATCATATCATCAGCAAATAGCAAGAGTTTGACTTCTTTTCCAATTTGTATCCTCTTGATCTCCTTTTGTTGTCTTATCAAATTACACATTCTGGGATTTATAATTAGTCATGGGATGAAAAAATCAACACACTGAGGTATTTCCCCAAATACATTGGTGAGAGCATCAGGTAGGTGAGTGACAGTAAAGCAGGGACCTCTGCTGTCAGATATATCTGACATGTTGTTCTCAGCCATAGGGTCAGTGAAAGCTGGTGGTCTGCTAAGCTAACACAGTTCAGAGGTGTTTCCTGAGAGTTGAAAGGGTGCTAGATCAGACACAGAAGTGGGTTAAGAGGTGAATGGCTGTTAAGGGAACTAAAGATAGCCCAGGATCATTTGGGTCTAGAACTGTAACATTCTAACCCTCCATAGTCATGAAATTCTAACCAGTTGATCTGTGTTATACAATCTTTAATACAGGTGTCTCTTGGGTACTTGAATTCCCAAGTACCATTTTTGAGTTATTGAGAGCTTTATGAAATTGCTTCATTTAAAAATAGTAGTAGCAACAGTTTTGTGACACAGAACCCAGGAAGGTGTGTTTTCAGGCATTACCTGTGCTGCACAGGTTGCCAGCATGAGGGCGGAGGCTTGGAAGGGAGGTGCCTCATGGCATACTTAGGCCTGCCCTGCAGTGAATTGGGGCACCTGTGTGTTCCACTTACAGGTGGTGAGTGGCTGCCTACAGGGCACAGTGAGTGTGTGGGACATCACCACGGGGAAGAAGAGGATGGAGATCTTTGTATCTGGCACTCAGCAAAGTGAGCTGACTGCCATGTCCCTGGACGAGTCGGAGCGGTGTGTGCTCACAGGCTTGCGTGATGGCACAATGCAGATGTGGAATTACAACACTGGGGAGTGTCTGTTGACATTTTCCACCGGGGACCATGTGGAGGTCAGTGGGGTCTATTAGGCGTAGCCAGCAGGTTCCTGGGAACCCTGGAACGTAGTTTTCTGTGTGTCTAAGAGGCTGCACAGCATAATCAGGCTGCCTGCCTTCAAACTTACTGGAGCCCTTGGGTCCTCCTGCATGAAATGAAGCTACTCAGTGTCTCTAGTGAGGGTTCCATAAATGCTCTTGCATTTAAAATGTGCAAGGACATGTTATTCTGCACCTTGGAGCTTTGGGGTGTGTGTTTAGCGGTGGGGGGTGTTTGATTTGGAGGCTCCTGTGCTCGCTCCTATTTGAAAGTGTATGTGAATGGGTACAGGAAAGAAACTGCTGATATGACTGTTCCATGACAAGGTTAGGGTTTTTATTGTAGGTGTGTATGTGTGTGTAAGAGAGAGAGAGAGAGAGAAAGAGAGAGAGAAACAGAGAGAGAGACAGAGAGACAGAGAGAGAGACAGAGACAGAGAG